ATAGTTATCAATAATCCTAATATTATATTAAAATAGCCTAGGAAAAAAACCAACCTGTGGTCCAGAGCTGGGCTGGCTGCGAGGAGGGGAGGAGGAACCAGAAATATGGAGGTGATAAGGGTATAAAACTCTGGATGTGGTTTCTGTAGCAGCTCCTTGTGGAAGGTGTGAAGAGTCCTGGGCTGGGAGGTGCTTCTCCTGCCCTGAGGCATTTTCCTGGCCCCCCCAGTGGCACCTTCCACTCCCAGCTGACCATCCTTCCCTCGAAGGGAACGAGGAGCTGCTGCTATCCCAGCTTGGAACTCGGTTCCACAAAACCCTGATTGTCCTGGGAAGAGGGAGGGAGGGAGGGAGGGAGAAGACCTTGGGAAGGTGGGCAGGACGACACAGGGAGCTCCTTCTGAAGCTGTGTTCCTGGCCTCTGCTCAGCCCTGATGTTGCAGCTTTGTTCCCCTGTGATGTGTCGATTCATAAGTTACCAAAATATCTCCTTGCTGCAAAAGCAGAACAAATACTCTCAGTTTATTAATAGCAGAACAAACACTCTGTTTATTAAAGGATTTGACACCCACCCCAGCCCTCCCTGCTCCCTCCTGCCTCTGGATCTCAAGTGTGAAGCTGCTGCTGGGGAGTTGAATGAGGCCGAGTGGTTTTCCTCCTCTCTGGAGATGATGAGAGGGTTGTTGGCTGGGAGAAGGGGCTGCTGGCTTGGGAGGAGGCAGCCCTGGGGAAGGACCAGGCGTGGGGACTGCCTGGAGCTCCCTTCAAGGGCCCTGACTCAGCTCTGCTGAGCTCCATGAGACTCTCTCAGGGGCTGGTGGCTCAGGCTGGCAGCAGGACCTGCTGGAGAGGGACTGGCTGGAGGCTCTGCCCCGCTCTGAGATGCTTGAGATGGGCTCTGGGGGGCAGAGAGGGGGTGGGACATGATGGGGAGGACAGGGAGGGTCAGCAGGGGTGTAATTCTGGGCTGGTCAGGCTGGGACCATGATCTTAAATCCCACAGGGGCTTCCAGGAGGGAAGAATCAAAATTGGAGGTAGAGCCAGAGCTGGAGGCTGGTCCAGGACTTGCAGGAGGAAATCTTAGACCCTGACAGAGTTTGAGCCAAGCTCCTCTTGAGATTGGGCTGGCTGAGGCCAGATGTGAGTGTAGGGAGTAGGCAAAGAAATTTGGGCCACTGGGAAGCTGGGGTGAAGGGCAGGTCTGATCTGATGACAACAGCCATGAGTCAACCCAGGCCGTGGGTGGAAGGGCCAGGGGTAAACAGGAGATGGAGTCAGGAGCCAGAGCAGGGTGGAGCTGGGCAGCAGGGCAGGAGAGGGGATCCTCCCCCTGGCCTCTGCTCTGGGGAGACCCCAGTTCTGGTGTCCCCACCCTCCAAGGGACATGGAGCTGTTGGAGCGAGTCCAGAGGAGGCCACAGAGATGAGCCAGGGGCTGGAGCATCTGGGGGCAGGCTGAGGGCCCTGGGGTTGTCCAGCCCGGCGGGGAGAAGACTA